GGCTAGACCCGTATCTCTCCTTCCCGGACAACTCCCTGTAGGTTGCTGCTCTTTCTATGATGACTGTTGCTGCCGTATTATTGTGCGTGTGTAAAATCTTTCTAGTTTGTGTAATTCAGTGACCTGAAGAAGGGCTTAGGCCCGAAACGTTGTCAATAAACTTTTGGAAGAAAAGAAGAGCTTCTCATTCCCATCCATAAAAACAAGTCTGAATAAATTTTCATAACTGGACACCACTTTTAGAGTTAAAGTATATTGAAAAATTAGGAAGAACAAACCGATGACCGGAATGTTGGAAGAGCTGGAGTGACCATGGTAACCGACACATCGTGATCACGGAATGAACTGAAACGATCATCTTCACTCTCAGTAAAACGCTATAGAGACTCTGACTGTCGAAAAAGGAGCAAGCCTTTTTCAAACTTACACATCTCTTTCTAGACCATCGCCTTGATCGTCGGACCACTGATCAGCGCTGTGATCGGCTGCTGATGGATCAACCTAGAAAAACTCAGAACGCATTCATATTTCACGAATCTACAGTAGCGATTTGGTGGAATAAACTACGTGAGAGACTCCGCGATTCCTGAGAAGGAAAGTAGGGCGCGTCGACAGATTCCCATCAAAGGATTAAATGGGGATCAGTCGATGCCACTTCTCCGGAATCGCGGATTCCCCACATCCCAAATGTGTTGAGGTGGCCTCACATTTTGCCTCCAGGAGCAGAAAAAACGAGGACATTATTAGGAATATGTGAAAAATAGTTCATGCAAAGTACCTGTTTCCTAGCTGGTGAACGCCCAGACAGTCCATCATGGTGATCATCGTATTCCTGAATGGAGTCAAATATTTGAAAAATCATCTTCAAATATGTAGCGATACCGATACCTTTACATTGGTATAGTCCAAAGCTGAGTCTGCTTCTCGCTGCTCTTTGATCTTATTGATTTCGTCAATCACCTGAAAAAGTAGGGGTTTGATGAAAAAAAATTTGGTAACGAGTAGAGAAAATTCCACCTTTTTCTCTGCTTCTGATATATGATAAAGCTGCGATATCCTATGATCTGAAGAAGAGATAGGAGTTGGCAAGTCAGTTGTCCCCTCCAGCACCCGGCGAAGGCTAAAATACGACATTTCAGAGAAAATACTCAAGCTTGATCACAGCGACCTTACGATAGTGAATATATGTTGTGTATGCATGGCTAGGCCGCTCAGAGTAAGGAATTCAATTTTCTGCTCTAACCTATCTTTGGACTCGAAGAAATGGCCCTTAGGTGGAAGCCAAAGCTAATATGAGAAGGTGCGAGGCTGCAACAATTAAGTGGGGTTCCCTTCCGCTAGTCACCGGGGTGAGGCCGCAATAACACTTTGATTGCATTCAGTCTTGTTCGCAGTGGATGAAGGGCGTGTCCGGCGGGACGAGTTTGGCGCAGCGCCAAACCCATTCTTGAAGCGAGTCGACGACAATCGGTGTGAAACTACTGAGCGAACGGTATGATACAGGCTTGCCGTTTCGCTCAGTAGTTGGCAGGTGGAAAACGGGATTGGCACTGCGTCAGACCCATCCCGAATGACACGCCTCTTCATCCGCTGCGAACAAGAGCATGAATGTTTCCACCGTTGACAACGGTGTCAAACCAGTTTGCGGGAAGTAATGAAGGGAGAACAACATCAATACATGAAGTCAGATTTTTTGACAGATAGCGATAATTTTCAGTTGACTACATGCACTAATGGTGACACTTCTTAGTGGCAGCTCAAGGTCCCAGTTTCGCGTTTCCCCTCGTAGCCACAACGGCCACAGAGAATCGTCTATATAGAAACATTAGAAGAGCTGAAACAGTAGATCTCGCAACATTCCAATGACTATAGCGCACAGCCGTTCCCACGGAAACTGAACAACCCCCAAATGGATTACTCACCCACAAACAGTAGCAACCACCCCCCCCACTACTTGAGCACTCCTATAAGCACCTACTTCAGCACCAGGGGCCTTTCGCAATTGCCACCCCGACGCGAGCAATATGGCACGATTCATTTGCAAGATAATTATCACTACTTCCATGCCCGCGCCCACTCCATCAGCCGAATTTCCGACTTTATATCACGATCAACATTATAGAAGTCATCGCATGACTTTCCTCACCGGGTTCATAGAAAGGGAAACTCAAATAAAAGTGATGCAATATGCTCACAGGAATGACGTCATCAATCAGTCAAGAGAAACTTACCGTTCGAGAAGTAACCTTATGGTTTTACTGTCAGGTGTGAGGATATCGTTCTCATCCGGGATGTCGTTAATTCCCATCGCTCTTGCCACAACCAAAGGCCTAAAACTCACAGGTGGAAGTAGCGCTGTCAGCAGTGGTGAAAAATCAATTGACAAACGGTTTTTATGGTAGACTCTTCTCACCAAGCTGATTATCCTACTATCTGGGATATCCCACTAGGGGCGGGGCAAAAAAAAGTCACTTTGCTTCATTGACTTTCGAGGCGCTATAAATTACACTTCATTGAATTTTGATTGGACATTTGCACCATCATATTTAGCAACACACACTATACTCCGCCACAGCCTTCTGGACGAGCGCCATCGAGAGATTCTGCCACGCGACCGTGATTCGGTGCCTGAGTTCAGCGAGATCGTTGATTTCTCCGCCACTGTAGACCACCCTATTGAACTCCGCCCGAACCGGGTAATTGAGGGATTCAGGTCAGGTGACCTACTTGGATATTCCATCTTCTTTAGGTACTCAGCCCCCTTCCATTCCAAGTAGGCGAGAGTTTCTCCAACGCCCTTCGATTCCATGTGGTGGCACCCAATGCTGTAGCAGTACAAAGTTTCCAAGAAGGTACGGGCGACGACATGTGAGGAGGATATTCTTCACGAGTTGCTCAATGTAACCGCCAGCGCTCACCTTATGTCCGGGGTCCACGAAGAAAATATTGGTCTTCCCATTCCAGGTACGTCCGGTCCATACCATCAACCCGCGCCTTGACGACTGTGGTGAAGATGATGTCCTAGACCGTGGCGACGTTGTCGGAGCTGCTTGGAGGTCTTCCAGATCGAGAGTACTGGTCTCCAGGTAGCTATCCATGGGTGACTCCATACTAGAAGTTTCGCAGCTGTTTGGAGGTGACATGAATTCCAAAGGTCTTCTCCAGTCAGGCTGCGACTGGAGATGACTTCATATTTTGGTGTACATGAAGGTGATGGGCGAGAGCCAGCTCCTGCTTATAGAGGAACATCTTGGGTATCTTCCGCCCTGGTACTCGTATCCACGTCCTCTGTCTGGGCAGCGAAAACTTTGCTGATATGTGACTCGGTCGAAGTGACTTTTTTTGCCCCCCCCCCCCTGTACATATAATCGGCTATGTCCGTGTGTGTACAGATGTGTGTTTCTTTGTTTGTTTGTTTGTCACGACATTTATAGCACCTGAAGAACTTGGAGGGATCGGGCCATGGTGAGGATTGGTAGGGCATGGGACAAAATGTAAATAACACCCGTGAGCCATGCTAAGCCCCGCCCACGGCGGGCGGGGCGTGCATTTGAACACGGGGTACCAGTTCGAAAAATCGTGGTTTGGTCCTGAAGCACTACAGAGCCGCGCAAAAAAAGTGAATCATGGTCCCAAAGTGATCATATGTTGGAATGTGCGAGGCACTCCTGTAATGGGCGGAGCGTGCGTCAAGGTGGGTAGAGCCAAATTTGAAAGATTCGTTAAACGGTTCCAGAGCACTCAGGACACCGGGAAAAAGTAGGTTAAGATCAGCGAGGGGTCACCGGTTGAGTAGCGCAAGGCACACCCGCTGTGGGCATAACGTGCGGCGAGGTGGGCGGGGCAGCCTTTAGGATTCCTGGAGCGGTTCCAGAGTACTCCAGGCATACCAGAGGCCCGCCCTCGCGGGGCGTGCTCCATCGCGCCTACGTGCATTCGTATGATCAAATACTCGACTACTAATACCCGGCTTTTCTCTCATCTGTACACTTGATCAAAGCTCGTTTCCACCATTTCCATAATCCGTAATAGTGTTGAGGCACTATCAGTAGGCATGATGCTATTGGTCAAAAAACGTTGACCACCTGTTCAAATGAAGGAAAAGCCGGATACAATGGTGGGTATGGAAGTGTGTGAAGAAGGAAAGCGCGGCTGAGCCGTGCTGTATCGCAGAAGAAGGCGCGCCGGAGTAGTGAGGATACCTTGCCAGCCGGCTTCGCCGTCTGGTAAGATATACTCGCGGACCACTTTCGACATTGAAAGCTACAATATATCGAAATGAAATGAATTGGTCGGTGAGAAAAAGTTATGCCCGAAAAAACCCTTTATTAATTGATTTTCCGTCCATTGTAGATTCTTGAAGTAGTTTTTAGCTGAAACAAGTGCTACAAATGAAGAATCATCGAATTTCTTGTAAGCTCTCAGAAAAACTACAGAAACTCCAACGGTTTCAGAATTTCGATGCTACCAACTGCACAAAAGGAAGACAATGCCATTCTATGCCAACCTTTTTCACATTCGCTTTTCTTCCATTCATTGTCTCAGAGAAGTCCAAAGCATCATAGTTTCCAGCTAAATCCGGCCTATAAGCATGCAGTAGCGCATTCAAAGCCAATCCACTTCGCCATGACTTCCTAAAGGTTTTCTATTAAGCCATTGCCAGCGATTATACCCATAGATACAACGACTCACGTGAAGTCGTTCACTTTCACTCCATAATATCCGCTTGTTACCCTCTGCGCCCATGCTAGCAGAGCTTCTCCTTCCACTCGCTCAGGGGCGCGTTCGCGAGATGGGGCCCGCGGAGAATGTGACCTGCTACAATACGGTCGTAGGATTAAATCGAGAGAACAATGAGAGAAGCAGTTCGGCTCGAGAGAGAAGGGATTTTGGGTTCCTGTCAGTAGCCTATGAAGACCAGTCAGCTCTTGTAAGCTATGCAGTAGCACAAGCTTCGTTTGCACTCAAGGAAAGTACAGGTCAAGGCAAGGTGAAACGTGTAGTTGAACAGGAACTGGCAAAAGAACTGGCGAACTTGCGAAACGACCTCCCATCTCCTTCACCGAGCCGAACAGCGCCAAAAGGAAAATATAGTGCACAAATAGCAAACATATACCCGATGTTTTTGGGGGACGGAGTCTGGCCGATTAAAAGCTGCTGCGGAGGTGTCACCTGCACAGGACGCGAGTTCTCGTCAACCTAAATACAGTCTAAATGGCAAGTATTCCAGATTTATAAGGTATTCTCACTTCGAAAAATGAGAGCGTAGGCTTAGTTGGAGTGGTTTCCCGTTCCTTTGTTGCTTTCTCCTCACTGGACACCCGCCAGTGCGGTCGTACACTGCCAGTGGAAATGTGACCAGCAGAAGATTCAGATTCTGTAATTGTCAGAAGATAAATGATTATAAATGAGGAACAAGTAATTGAAAAATTGTAGGAACTTAGAAGGCGATCGACCTTGCCGTTGCGGGTGAACAACTTCCGTTTCACTAGGGGATGTGTCAACCCTCACTTCACCAGCTTGCTGAATTTCAGAAGTCCTACGAGATTCAGGTTGCGGAGTTTCTTCTACGGCGATTGGCGCAGTCTTTGGAGCCTTCCTCGTATCCGAAGACCATGACTGACTTTGGATTGTATTTGCAACAAGGGCCAGTTCCTTTTTAGCATCTCCTGAACAATTTCGATTATATGGAGCTTAAGTGCGATGGGAAAAAGCAGTGAAGGGAACCAATGCAATTCAACGGTAAGCGAAAATAAATCACACTACGGAGGAGATAAGGCCCTGCCGTTTTTCCCTAAATATCTCTATTTACCAGCTAAATTACCTTTGCTACATATTGAGAAGATATACCTTTGCTACATATTGAGAAGATATACCGAAGAAGGAGGCGGAGATGGTGTAGTGACAAGTGGGGCGCTCACCATTCGCGCGGTCCCGGGTTCGAATCCCGGGTCGACTCCCGCCCAGGCCAACCAAGCCTTCTACCCTCCGGGGACGGTGAATTGGTACCAGATTCGTCTGGGAGGATAAAACACTGACTTGTACATCGGCTGGCCACCGCAAGTCATTGTATAGGCCACATCGCATTCAATAAGCCACTACGATTCTGAATGGAAGTAGAATGCGTGCCGCATCCCACAAAGGGATTGATCAACGGCGAAGACTTTATCCTTTTATCCTTTATACCGAAGAAGCGCTAATCCAAGAATATAGGGCATTTTGCTGTAGAGCAACGAAAGCTTTGAAAAACATGAACATTTCCTTTTATTACGAACAAGCTCTTGTCGAAACTTCAAATAATTCAGCAGTCGACGGGTTTTGTTGAAGTGGTATCAGAAAAGGATGAAATGTCATTGACTTCCTAGTTCTTGATACTTGAGCAATAATGGCCACATCCTTCTCAAATATAGACCTTATTAAGAATGGTCCTGCTTTCACCAACGTGATTTGCTCGGCTCAGCTGCCAGTGTGCCCGAAATGCCCCATCTAGAACCCCATGATAACCGCGCTTGTACGTGCCTAAAGTGAAGAAAGTCGCAGATGGACGAGTACTCACTTATTGGTGCCAGCTCTTTCTTTCGAAATGGAGAGCGCCAGTAGTGATCAACCACATCATCGGACAGCAACGAAAAATAAAATTTCGGTGTTGCTATGGCTAGTGGGGAGCCGTGGTTCCGTCGCGAGCGAGCAGCAATTTCTTCGCGTATTTTCGAGCTGGACAAGTAGTACATCCTGCATGCTTGCAGGCACGACTGTTATATTTGAGAAAGGCGCTTGAAAAAATCAACGCAGACCGTGCCCTCAACACGTAATATGTATGTGGCATAATTCCGCCCTTATCAGCGCTTACCTGTCTTTATACCTAGTTTTCGCCTTCCAAGTCTACGCCCATAAAAGTTTGCCATTTGCTCGTATGAAAGCTCAATGACGGGCGTGACGATATGGTAACTCTTGCTATTACAAACCTTATCGTTCTTTATGCTGCTATCACATCGGTCACGGGCCATTAGTGTCCCATTTCCAAAGTCGCTCGTCAGGCAATATCAGTTGCAATCACGTTGTATCATTGTCCATGAATCTGCTCATCTCATCCCCTACATCACCCAGCGAAACCAAGGTGATAATGATGTTACGATGCTTGTCGCGGGTTAAGTGAGCCTTCCCTCCCAACGCCTCATATCAACCCGTACCAGCTCTTATCTATTTGTGGCCTGCCATTGGATTTCCCGTCCCACCCCCGAATTCGCTCGCAGAAAGTTTCGGAAAAGTAGTATCCACTCACTTTGTCAAAGGATCTCGCGTGCAAACGTACTACAAAAAGGAGGTGGACCCGAGGCAACGTCTGTGTCCCTTCAGACATCTAAGCTCCAGGATGAAAACGCGCAGACGAGCAGAACTGGCCCCTTCGTAACTTTGATTGGGGGAGGAGGCAGAATTAGACGGTTGACGCGTAGCCCATCCCCTTCCCCCCTTCAGTCACCTTCTCCTCTATACTCCCTCTAAGCTAGGACAAAGTCGTTATAACACCCCCCCCCCTCGTGCTTACAATCAACTACTTGCACACTCCACCCCTTAATGTTGTCAGACATATAGAAATCCGAAGAAGTGGCGAAGTGGAATAAAAACAAAAACATTTTGTAGCTTCGAAGGACTCTTCGTGAAAAATGACATCACAGTAATCCTCCTCACACTTTGCGGGGTAGATTACCGTGATGTCATTTTTCAGAAGAAGTCCTTTAAAGCCCTCTCGGCTGATGTAGCAAGTAATGCGGAAAAAGTGTAGCATCCATAATGTACTTTTTTTAATTGGTCCCAGCGACAGATTTTTTTCATTTAAATTGTTCGAAGCGAGAGGCAGCTCTCTCATTAGTATAATTGCCCTGAGCCCACCGCTTTTCTGACAGAATCTTTTAAAGGCGTTGGCACGATAAATCCCCCAAGACGAGTAGGATTAATACGCCTGGCAGGACGGAATTCCGCGACCCTGAGCAGGCGCTGCATAGCGCCTTTCCCAAGGAAGGTGCCCTTATAAGGGCCTATGAAGCTACAACATTACGACCCGAACGCCCGCCCGCCCACAAATGGACGACCGTTCCTGACGCTCAAACTGCTTCATTTGCTAAGCAAATTATGAAGCGAAGGGATTGGTATGAAGCGGCCGTGATGCTGCATGGATATATGAGTACACATATGCAGCCGTACCTTCGGTAGCGGTTATTGGCAAGATGCCTACGGGAAACTCGTCCAAAATCGATATTCAAGTCATTGAGAACGGAGGCTCTTTCTTCGTAGGATTTTGACCGTTTCACTCCGTTCTTTCGCCATTTCCCCACTATATAGCGCCCTACTGGCATTTTAGGCCAAGCACCAAATCATCGTGCCAACTGCCTTTAACCAAACCCCTCGCACTTCACAATTCTACCTGATTTAGCAAAGCAGATGTTTTATCGTAAGAACGCTACTCTATACCATTAAATAAAACCTTTTTCGGATTTATTCCAGCCATTATATCGGATTCCCTTTCCCCAGTGGATACTTACGAGGCAAACCTGACGTGGTCCCCCCATATGTTGGCCACGTTCCAAACGAGAGAGATAGGTGACACCTGAGGGCTTTGTGTAACATCGGGTAACACATAATGTGCGCATACAACACGTCGCAATACATATGTCACCTCGACAATGGCGCTCGTCCCGCGAATTATTACGGCATTCAAGAGAGAGTCATCCACATATGAACTACTGGAACAGACATGACCACACAAGGTTGGACGTAGAGTCTGACAGAGCGGTAATCAGAGGGAACTCCTATGCTCAGGGAAGATGGTGTATGGGGCATAGTCTCACAGCCTTACTCCACTCCTCGATTTTTTATAAGACTCTTCTACATGACGTGACTATGAAGGAGGAGCACTGAAGGTCGTTTCAACTGCTCCTCTCGAATAGCATGCGCGAGTACCTGGAGCTGGGTGGCATATATGACAGCCGTGACCGAGAGGTGTCTCGTTGGTATCCGCGTCTGCAAACTGGAGTTATTTTATCCAAAGGTAGGCAACGTACAGTCGGGCTGGTTGTATCGGCAGTTACAGAAGTACGAGGAACAACAATCGAGCGCTTTGCGCGCAGTCGCAGGACCGCCAGATCGTGAGTCACGAAGTATGAAGGTGCTCCAAAAGCTGCTTCACCACTCGCTGTAGCTGCTCTCGTATCCAAAACGGTACACGAAATTCATGATTTCCGTTACACTTCGCTATATGAATTTCCACCAAGCCACAAGGTGGTTAGAGCAACCCGCGGAGTTCGCTCTGAGTTAGGCCCTGATGCTGTCTTCCATAGTACGGCGTTGAATGGGCCCGACCGCTTCTGCTTAATTGGCTTCTACCTAGGAGACAAACCTCGCTTATGAAGACCATCTGCCTCGGATATGGACATACTGCATTCCTTGATCAAAACCAATTCGCACAAATCGTCTCCCGTAGTCCGTAGGCTGACTGTTTTCAGAGCACAAACGACAGAGGTTCCCCAGCCCTCAAGAAAGTATTGAAGTTTGGTCAGAAGTCATGAGAGGACCGATACTCAGTGGGAACGCATGTGGGTAGTGTCTACAACTTCTCTCGTTTCTGCCATACATACTGGTTGAACAAGGACTGTGGCTGGATAAGGAGTAGGTTTCTCTGGGTTAACAACCCCCGGCAGCGTCAGTGGCTATATCCTCCAAGAGGGGCAGAACCGGCGGTGCAATCCTATCAACACGGGTCGGAAGGTTATACTGTGCATGTGGCGATCCATTCATGGGGTTTACCATAGGGAATTTCTTCCCCTCAACGCTGTGCTATCTAGCGAGAACTCCTGTAATTAACAGCAAAGTAGATAAAAATCCCCTCCATCTGGTCCCACAACCCCAGCAATGTTCACCTACCCTACCACAGCTGTCCCACGTTTCGAAAGTGACACTCCTCGAGATCTTGAAGCTTACCAGGGAAGGATATGAGATGCATATCGACATGTAGGTCTTGGGACGCTGAACTCAAATCTGCTTCCAAAATTTGCCGAACGATTCTCTATGAGGAGTTAGGGGGTGGTGGTTTTAGCATAGCACTCGCCGATCCTCCTTTGCGTAGCTCAAGTTAAGTTCGAGTACAGACAGTCTCAAGTGGTCGATGGTGTAGTGGATAGGTAAGTTGCTTCATAGGTGGGAGGTCATAGGTTCGGTTCCTTGACCTATCCGGATTCCTGCATTCTTTCGAGGGAGGGGTAGCATTTCGCTAACAACAATCAACATGGCAAGCCGTGGAGACCGATAAACTCTAGCAGATTCACGATGATAATCCATTTCTACGTAGGTTCTATATGCTTCCCACAAAGGGGGATTCAAAGCTGTAAAGTGGAAAGAAATGTCTGTTAGCCAGGGAACGAGAATCCTGCACAAGCCTAGAGAGGAGGTGGATCTCCAAAGTGGGCGACTTTTTCATAAAACAACGGGGTTAAGAAATGAAGCTTGTGAAATCTGGTACCTTCGCAGGAGTTTAAAGGAAGTTTCGAATTGATTCGCAGTTGGCCGGAAAAGCGTCGGACTTCCAGTATTGGTCGCGAGGCTTTACATCAATGGGAAAGATTTTATATTGGGCAGCGGCCGCGCCTCCCCGTCGCCCGCGCCCCCCCCTGCCCGCGCAAATCACGCCCTTTTGCGCGGTTGTGTTTTACGGAGAAGTGGAACACAGCCATAGGAGTATGTTTTTCAAATGAACAAGATCCCTGATGACTGACACCTCACGTCAAATACGTGCAAGATACTCAACACTAATTACATTTCTAGAGCAACATCCACTCTGACTTCACCCTCGCTCTGTCTCCAGCCATATTTCCCGAACACTACAAAGGAACATCGGCGGCAGACGGGTGTTTACGTCATTATATGAGTGCCTACGTCATTATAATAAGGCCATCCATCAGTCGCGCACACAGAGACATGCGGCGAACTGGCCAATCCCATCGCTGTGGTTTTCAATCATTTTCACTATTAACTATGAGAACAATGCAACAAAACCTAGCCTTATGTGGGACAATCCCGAACCTCTTGATCTCGACTATTTGTAAAACCAGTGGCACACGATTCAGCATCAGGACTGCTTTGCCACATTATTCTCCGTCTCGCGATAACACATTGAGATCATTCCAAATGATAACAAGATTATGGGATTCTCTTCAATAGCGCTCACATTGTTGCTTCGTCCTCACAGCAAAGATAATAGTAGGCTGTACAAAAAGTCTCCGCGCTGCGAACATAATTGAGCGGTCATTTTTAATGAAAATCAATTTCGGTCACGTACATATTGGCTATTATTTTTGACCTCTTCAAATTTGATTGTAATTTCATAATGCTACTGATGTAGAACTCCTGTGGTTTACCGGTGAAAAACTGGGCCAAGTGATTTTCAGCAGTGCTTTGGTGAATTTCTTAATATCAAGGGAGTTTTGCACAGATTGAAAAAGATGGTAGTCATACGGTGGAAGGTCTAGCCGTACAGTGGATGCATTAAAACTTCCAAGTCAACCGAGCCCCCAATTTGTTCCGAGTCATCAAAGATGATGCGGATCAGCCGGGAGTGTGCTATGCCACCCAAATTTTCCGGGACGAAATTTAGCAAACCTTCCTTGTCCGATTTTTTGGCATGTTCTCGGAGCGGTTTCGATTTTTTTTATTGTGAAAAAAACCCGTCACATCCTGTATTTCTTCCTTCGGAGATTCCACTAATTTTCGAATAATATAACTTTCTGCACGAGCAACGAATTAAGGAACTATCA